AGCGGAACGAAGTACGGCCGAGGCCGCGCGGCAGCTCCAGACTCAGCAGGGACAGCACCAGCACCCTCAGCGACAGCACCAGCGCCACCCACACCTCCAGCGGCAGGACCAACAGTAGTAGGCTCAGCACCAACGCCCTCAGCAGCTCCAGCTCCAGGAGGACCCGCAGGTCCAGCAGCTCCGGGACCGGCAGCACCCGCACCCTCGACGGTCGAAGAAGCTCCAGCTCCAGCTCCAGCAGCACCTCCAGACTCAGCAGCACGCCTCCAGCGGCGAGCGAACCACTCGCGCAGCTCCTGTGGAGAGAGGGGCTCCCGGTGAGACGCAGCAGCAGGAGAAACCCCAGGCTCAGCAGCTCCAGACGCAGCACCCCCAGGCTCAGCAGCTCCCAGCTCAGCACCCCCAGGCTCAGCAGCTCCCGACCCAGCACCCCCAGACCCAGCACCTCCAGGCACAGCACCCCCCGGCTCAGCACCCCCAGGCTCCTGACCCTCCGCAGCAGCACCCCCAGGCCCAGCACCCCCAGCAGTAGCACCCCCAGGCTCAGCACCCCCGCGCACAGCACCCCCAGAGTCAGCACCCCCAGGCTCAGCACCCGCAGCAGCACCAGAGTCACCAGTAACCTCGACCGGGTCAACGGCGTCTACCTGGGACACACCTGAGGGGGCAGGAACCTGAGGGGGGAGGGGGTCTACCGGGGGGGGAACTGGCACAAGGAAGTCCGGGGGAGGGGGGAGGGAAGGAGTGCGGTAGGGGAAGAGACGGTAGAAGGGGACTGACTCGTCGAACGTGACGTCCTGGGAGGACAGAACACGACGAGAGGAGGGGTGGTAAAACTGCCACCCTCGGGCGTCAGTGGGGAAGCCAAGGAAGACACAGGGAGCAGCACGAGGGGACAGCTTGTCCGCAGACAAGTCGCGGACAAACGCCCGAGATCCCCAGACACGGAACACAGACGCATCGCCAACCTTCCCCGTCCACAGCAAGGCTGGGGACATCGCAGGCCGAGAGACCCGGGGGTGAAGGTTGAGCTGATGCGCCGCGTACCTCACCGCAAACGGCCACAGAAAATGGGGGGCAGCCGCATGCATCATGGACGTACGAGCGACATCCATGACCATGCCAATGCGGCGCTCAGCAATCCCATTTTGCTGTGGTGAGTCCGGAAGCGTGAAGGTCTGGCGGATCCCCTGTGCACGACAGTAGTCTCGCAGAAGGCGAGAAGAGAACTCTCCGCCTCTGTCCGAGTGCAGACGCAGAACAGGAAAGTCCGAGCCGAAGCTCTTCTTGAGCTGGAGACGAGCCTCGCGGATCCAGTCGATCAGCACCTCAGTGACCGCACCCTTGCTGCGCAAGGGGAGGACTGTGGTGTAACGCGAGTAGTCGTCAACCACCAACAGAAAGTAGCGCTCGTGACCCTGCCCACGGACGGGGGCTTGGCCCCACACATCCATGTGAAGCGTTTGCAGGGGAGCCTCTGTCAGGGGGAAGTGGGAGGAGTGAGGAGTAGCCCGGAGGCAACCCTCGACACAGGGGACACAGGAAGGTCCTGGCCCGGAGGGGAGAGGAGGGAGAGACTGGGGAAGACCAGAGACAAGGACACGGGAAGCCATGCTCCGAAGACGGGGCAAGGAGGGGTGGCCAAGACGGTGGTGCCACAGGAGAGTCTCGTGAGACAGGAGGCGACAAGAACAGGGGGCAGACTCAGGACCTGACCGGGACGCAGCAGCAAGCACCTGACCTGACGCAGCTACCTGACCGGACGCAGGGACAGGAGGAGACGAAGTGGTCAGGGTGTAGAGACTCGACCCCGGCCGACGTGAGAAGGTGGCCAGGTGTCGGCCTGTGCGTGCGTCCGTGCAGTGGGTCACCTGCTGACTCGCAGGAGTGAACTGGTGAACCCCCGCATCCTGCAGGGCTGCACCACTCACCAAGTTCGTAGAGAACGAGGGAAGGTACAGACCAGACAGGGTGCCCGAAGGGGCAGCCGGACACGGGAGGACAGTGGAGAAGTGAGACAGGACAGGACCCCCAGAGGGGTCAGCAAGGGAGACTGCAACCGGCCGGCCGAGCGGCGTAAGGGTAGTGCGGTCTCGAAAGAAGGAGCGAGAAGCCCCGGAGTCAAGTGTGAAAGTGAGGGAGGACGAGGACGACGCAGTACCTGAGAGCGCAGTCTCACCAGTACCTGAGAGCGCAGACGCACTGGCACCTAGAGCAGCAGCCTCACAAGCACCTAGCGCAGCAGTACCAATGCCCGGGTCGGGCTGGAAACACCGGTAACCCTCATTCTCCTCACTATAAGTCACAGCATACATAGCAGCAAGGATAGCATCAAAATCAAGATCAAAGATCGCTACACCAGCCCTAAGAAGCTCATCCCAGCGAGGGATCTCACTAGCCCCAGGGAACTGCTGACGCCAAGCGTCCGTCAGGCGGCCAAAGCAGCGCTGGGTGGCGTGGGCACCCCCACACTGCTCACCCGCGCGGTCGCCGGAACGAAGAACGTAGGTGCAGGGACCAGTACCCCCACCCCTCTGACGCCTAGCGTACCACTCACGAAGCTGCTGAGGCGGAGGGATGTCCCGCGAGCGCTGCTGCTGCTGCCGCTGCGAGCGCTGGCCACCACCACCGCCGCTACGCTGCTGGGTACCACCCCGACCAGCTCCACCTCCTCCACCACCACCGCCTCCTCCGCTGCCGCCTCCACCGCCTCCACCTCCGCCGCCTCCACCTCCGCCGCTGCCTCCACCACCACCGCTGGCACCACCACCACCGTCTCCGCCGCTGCTGCCACCACCACCACCACCCCCGCCACTAGTCCCGCCGCCACCCCCACTCCCTCCGCCGCCACCGCCGCCACCGCCACCGCCCCCTCCAGCTCCACCCGCGCCCTTGCCCCCCTTGCCCTTGCTGGAGCGACGTCTCCCACTAGGGGCAGACGCCGCGCCGACCGACTCAAGACCAAGCAGGTCGGCAGCAGCAGCAGAGGCAACAGAGGGCAGCAAGGGGGAAGGAGAGCACCCCTCAAAGATGGGGGTGCGAGGGTCACCACGAGAAGCACCTACAGCGACTATGCTCTTCTCCGCTGCGAGGAGGGCCTTCTCGAGGAGGTCGACGGTGAGGGTGGTGGGACAGACTGCGAGAAAGTGGTCCCTGACGACGCGAAGGGAGTCAGGGAGGCGCGCGACTACGTAGTAGAGAGCGATGTACATGGGGGGTGGGTTCTTAGCGCAGAACTCAGCAAGAAGGGCGGCGCGGTAGCGAGTGTCACTAGTGCGGAGGTGCGTAATGAGGTCAGCGATAGTGGGAAAGGCAGAGAGGTCAGGAAAGAGGTAGGGAAGCATGAGACGGCTCAGTGCAGCAGTGGCAGGGGAGGAGTAGCGCGCAACTACAGCGTCGTACAAGGTCTGAGCACTCTTGTACTGACTAAAGTGCGCACGCTCAGAGGTAGGGAGGTGGCGACGCACAGCAAGACGTGCAGTAGCATCGCGGGTGGCCCACTGAGAGCGGACAGTGAGATCAGCATCAGCAGCAGGAGCAGGAGAGGCGCTAGAGGTGAGGTCAAAGAGAGAAAGGCCATCAGCCCTGTCGCACTGTAAGAACAGCTGCAGGTCGTCTAACCAGACCTCGAAATCAATGGCGCGACCCTCAGCGTCAAAAGCTAGGACACTAGGGGTAGCCATGGCGACGACAGCGAAGCAGTGCAAGCAGTAGGGAAAGAGCTCGCAGTGACAGTGGGACTGTACTCACCAGGCAGGGCAGGTCGTGCAGCTCTGCAAAAAGGCGGCTCGGTGACCGGGCGGCTCAGTTGCACAGCGGCTCGGCTCCCGGGTGTCTCGGCGGCTGGGCGGCTCGGGCGCAGGGCGGCTCGGCTCCCGGGCGGCTCGGCGGCAGGGCGGCTCGGGTGCAGGGCGGCTCGGCTCCCGGGCGGCTCGGCGGCAGGGCGGCTCGGGTGCAGGGCGGCTCGGGTCCCGGGCGGCTCGGCGACAGGGCGGCTCGGCTCCCGGACGGTTCGGCTGCACTGCTGCCCGACTGCTGCAGGTGTGGCGGCGGGGCCGCGTTAGAGAGCCGGGGCGGGGACGCGTGAGGGCCGGCGGCGGGGCCGCGTGAGAGCCGGGGCGGGGCCGCTTCAGAGCCGGGGCGGGGCCGCTTCAGAGCCGGCGGCGGGGCCGCAAAAGAGCCGGCGGCGGGGCCGCTTGAGAGCCGGGGCAGGGGCCGCGTCAGGGCCGGCGACGGGGCCGTAAGAGAGCCGGCGGCGGGGCCTGGAGAGGGCCGACGGCGGGGCCACGTGAGAGCCGAGGCGGGGCCGCAAGAGAGCCGGCGGCAGGGCCGCGTGAGAGCCGGGGCAGGGGCCGCGTAAGAGCCAGGACGGGGCCACGGAAGAGCCAGGGCGGGGCCGCGACAGAGCCGTCGGCGGGGCCGCGTGAAAGCCGGGGCGGGGCCGCGGGAGAGTCGACAGCGGGGCCGTAGGAGAGCCGGCGGTGGGGCCGCGTAGGAGCCGGGGCGGGGCCGCGCTAGAGTAGGCGGCGGGGCCGCGTAAGAGCCTGGGCGGGGCCGCGACAGAGCCGTCGGCGGGGCCGCGTGAAGGCCGGGGCGGGGCCGCGTAGGAGCCGGGGCGGGGCCGCGTGAGAGCAGGCAGCGGGGCCGCGTAAAGGCCGGGGCGGGGCCGCGACAGAGTCGGCGGCGGGGCCGCGTGAGAGCCTGCGACGGGGCCGCGTAAGGGAGGGCGGCGGGGCTGCGTCAGTGGAGGCGGCTGAGCCGCAGGGGAAAAGGCGACCCGAGGGGTCGCTAAAAAAAAATCGCGCCTCGGGACGCGCTTCGGTGGGCCCAAAAAAACGGTCCTTAGAAGGACCCGCTCTATACCATGTGAGAATAAACGAACAGGAATGAATGAACTAGCAGTGAAATGAGTACAAGTAGGAAACCCTAGAATTGTGTACCCCCTATAGGCTAACCCACTGTAGCCTACACAAGCATAACATATATAATGTTTGACACGGTCAGTATGGGAACTTAGAGTGCAAATGCCTGGGAGAACGGAACCGCTCAGATCTCGCATAATACACGGAATCTAGTGGTCTCACTCAAATATAAGGTAGGAAATATATTCATCTAGTGAACGTAAGGGTTTGAAAGGTAACTAACGCACATGTGAAGAGAAAATGGTGCATCGGCCAGTCTGGCCGGCATTTCGCACTTATTTCGCCACACGTCCACGTCCATGTCCACGTCCACGTCCACGTCTATGTCCACGTCCACGTTCACGTCCACGTCCATGTCCATGTCCATGTCCACGTCCACGTCCATGTCCACGTCCACGTCCATGTCCAAGTCCATGTCCCTGTCTACGTCCACGTCCACGTCCATGTCCACGTCCACGTCCTCGTCCACGTCCAGGTCCACGTCCATGTCTACGTCGACGTCCACGTCCACGTCCATGTCCACGTCCACGTCCATGTCCACGACCACGTCCACGTCCACGACCACGTCCACGTCCACGTCCATGCCACGTCTAAGTCCAGGTCCACGTCCACGTCCATGTCCACGTCCACGTCCATGTCCATGTCCACGTCCACGTCCATGTCCACGTCCACGTCCATGTCCACGTCCACGTCCACGTCCACGTCCACGTCCACGTCCACGTCCAGGTCCACGTCCACGTCCACGTCCACGTCCACGTCCACTCCACGTCCACCTCCATGTCCTCGTCCACCTCCACGTCCACATCCACGTCCACGTCCACGTCCACGTCCACGTCCATGTCCACGTCCAGGTCCACGTTCACGTCCATGTCCACGTCCAAGTTCTCCACGTCCACGTCCACGTCCACGTCCACGTCCACGTCGACGTCCACGTCCAGGTCCACGTCCACGTCCATGTCCACGTCCATGTTCACGTCCACGTCTTGTCCACGTCCACGTCCATGTCCACGTCCACGTCCACGTCCACGTCCACGTCCACGACCATGTCCACGTCCACGTCCATGTCCACGTCCACGTCCATGTCCACGTCCATGTCCAGGTCCATGTCCACGTCCACGTCCACGTCCACGTCCATGTCCACGTCCACGTCCACGTCCACGTCCACGTCCTCGTCCATGTCCACGTCCACGTCCACGTCCATGCCCACGTCCAAGTCCTCCACGTCTACGTCCACGTCCACGTTCACGTCCATGTCCACGTCCAAGTTCTCCACGTCCACGTCCACGTCCACGTCCACGTCCACGTCCTCCACGTCGAGGTCCACGTCCACGTCCACGTCCACGTCCACGTCCACGTCCACGTCGACGTCCACGTCCACGTCCATGTCCACGTCCACGTCCACTCCACGTCCACTCCACGTCCACGTCCACGTCCACGTCCACGTCCACGTCCATGTCCACGTCCACGTCCACGTCCATGTCCACGTCCATGTCCACGTCCACGTCCACGTCCACCTCCATGTCCACGTCCACGTCCACGTCCACGTCCACGTCCACGTCCACGTCCACGTCATGTCCACGTCCACGTCCATGTCCACGTCCACGTCCACGTCAACGTCCACGTCCACGTCCACGTCCACTCCACGTCCACGTCCATGTCCACGTCCAAGTCCTCCACGTCCACGTCCACGTCCACGTTCACGTCCATGTCCACGTCCAAGTTCTCCACGTCCACGTCCACGTCCACGTCCACGTCCACGTCCACGTCCTCCACGTCCAGGTCCACGTCCACGTCCACGTCCACGTCCACGTCCACGTCCACGTCCAATTCTCCACGTCCACGTCCACGTCCACGTCCACGTCCTCCACGTCCACGTCCACATCCACGTCCACGTCCACGTCCACGTCCACGTCCACGTCCATGTCCACGTCCACGTCCACTCCACGTCCACTCCACGTCCACGTCCACGTCCACGTCCATGTCCACGTCCATGTCCACGTCCACGTCCACGTCCATGTCCACCTCCATGTCCACGTCCACGTCCACGTCCACCTCCATGTCCACGTCCACGTCCACGTCCACCTCCATGTCCACGTCCACGTCCACGTCCACGTCCACGTCACGTCCACGTTCACGTCCATGTCCACGTCCACGTCCACGTCAACGTCTACGTCCACGTCCACGTCCACTCCACGTCCACGTCCATGTCCACGTCCAAGTCCACGTCCACGTCCACGTCCACGTTCACGTCCATGTCCACGTCCAAGTTCTCCACGTCCACGTCCACGTCCACGTCCACGTCCACGTTCACGTCCATGTCCACGTCCAAGTTCTCCACGTCCACGTCCACGTCCACGTCCACGTCCACGTCGACGTCCACGTCCAGGTCCACGTCCACGTCCATGTCCACGTCCATGTTCACGTCCACGTCTTGTCCACGTCCACGTCCATGTCCACGTCCACGTCCACGTCCACGTCCACGTCCACGACCATGTCCACGTCCACGTCCATGTCCACGTCCACGTCCATGTCCACGTCCATGTCCAGGTCCATGTCCACGTCCACGTCCACGTCCACGTCCATGTCCACGTCCACGTCCATGTCCACGTCCATGTCCACGTCCACGTCCACGTCCACCTCCATGTCCACGTCCACGTCCACGTCCACGTCCACGTCCACGTCCACGTCACGTCCACGTCCACGTCCATGTCCACGTCCACGTCCACGTCAACGTCCACGTCCACGTCCACGTCCACTCCACGTCCACGTCCATGTCCACGTCCAAGTCCTCCACGTCCACGTCCACGTCCACGTTCACGTCCATGTCCACGTCCAAGTTCTCCACGTCCACGTCCACGTCCACGTCCACGTCCACGTCCTCCACGTCCAGGTCCACGTCCACGTCCACGTCCACGTCCACGTCCACGTCCAATTCTCCACGTCCACGTCCACGTCCACGTCCTCCACGTCCAATTCTCCACGTCCACGTCCACGTCCACGTCCACGTCCTCCACGTCCACGTCCACATCCACGTCCACGTCCACGTCCACGTCCACGTCCACGTCCATGTCCACGTCCACGTCCACTCCACGTCCACTCCACGTCCACGTCCACGTCCACGTCCATGTCCACGTCCATGTCCACGTCCACGTCCACGTCCATGTCCACCTCCACCTCCACGTCCACGTCCACCTCCACGTCCATGTCCACGTCACGTCCACGTTCACGTCCATGTCCACGTCCACGTCCATGTCCACGTCCACGTCCACGTCCACGTCCACGTCCACGTCCACTCCACGTCCACGTCCATGTCCACGTCCAAGTCCACGTCCACGTCCACGTCCACGTTCACGTCGTCCACGTCCAAGTTCTCCACGTCCACGTCCACGTCCACGTCCACGTCCACGTCCACGTCCATGTCCACGTCCATGTCCACGTCCACGTCCACGTCCACGTCCACGTCCACTCCACGTCCACCTCCACGTCCACGTCCACGTCCACGTCCACGTCCACGTCCACGTCCACGTCCACGTCCACGTCCACGTCCACGTCCACGTCCACGTCCATGTCCACGTCCAAGTCCTCCACGTCCACGTCCACGTCCACGTCCACGTCCTCCACGTCCACGTCCACGTCCACGTCCACGTCCACGTCCACGTCCATGTCCACGTCCACGTCCACTCCACGTTCACTCCACGTCTAGGTCCACGTCCACGTCCACGTCCATGTCCACGTCCATGTCCACGTCCACGTCCATGTCCACGTCCACGTCCACGTCCACCTCCATGTCCACGTCCACGTCCACGTCCACGTCCATGTCCACGTCCACGTCCACGTCCACGTCCACGTCACGTCCACGTCCACGTCCATGTCCACGTCCACGTCCACGTCAACGTCCACGTCCACGTCCACGTCCACTCCACGTCCACGTCCATGTCCACGTCCAAGTCCTCCACGTCCATGTCCACGTCCACGTTCACGTCCATGTCCACGTCCAAGTTCTCCACGTCCACGTCCACGTCCACGTCCACGTCCACGTCCTCCACGTCCACGTCCACGTCCACGTCCATGTCCACGTCCACGTCCACGTCCACGTCTATGTCCATGTGCAAGTTTAGCCGACGACGTTTCTTGTGAACTCGACGACTCTGTCCAGAATTTCAAGCCAACGATTTTGAGAAATTTAGGCTCCTAATCTTCATTGACTCCGTCCTTAGTCTCTAACACACGTCCACGTCCACGTCCACGTCCACGTCCATGTCCACGTCCACGTCCACTCCATCTCCACTCCACGTCCACGTCCACGTCCACGTCCACGTCCACGTCCATGTCCACGTCCATGTCCACGTCCACGTCCACGTCCATGTCCACGTCCATGTCCACGTCCACGTCCACGTCCACCTCCATGACCACGTCCACGTCCACGTCCACGTCCATGTCCACGTCCACCTCCATGACCACGTCCACGTCCACGTCCACGTCCATGTCCACATCCACGTCCACGTCCACGTCCACGTCACGTCCACGTCCACATCCATGTCCACGTCCACGTCCACGTCAACGTCCACGTCCACGTCCACGTCCACGTCCACATCCATGTCCACGTCCAAGTCCTCCAAGTCCACATCCACGTCCACGTTCACGTCCATGTCCACGTCCAAGTTCTCCACGTCCACGTCCACGTCCACGTCCACGTCCACGTCCACGTCCTCCACGTCCTCGTCCACGTCCACGTCCACGTCCATGTCCACGTCCACGTCTACGTCCATGTCCACGTCCATCTCCACGTCCACGTCCATCTCCACGTCCACGTCCACGTCCACGTCCACCTCCACGTCCACGTCCACTCCACGTCCACCTCCACGTCCACGTCCACGTCCACGTCCACGTCCACGTCCACGTCCACGTCCATGTCCACGTCCAGGTCCACGTTCACGTCCATGTCCACGTCCAAGTTCTCCACGTCCACGTCCACGTCCACGTCCACGTCCACGTCCACGTCCATGTCCACGTCCACGTCCATGTCCACGTCCATGTTCACGTCCACGTCTTGTTCATGTCCACGTCCATGTCCACGTCCACGTCCACGTCCACGTCCACGTCCACGACCATGTCCACGTCCACGTCCATGTCCACGTCCACGTCCACGTCCACGTCCATGTCCAGGTCCATGTCCACGTCCACGTCCACGTCCACGTCCATGTCCACGTCCACGTCCACGTCCACGTCCACGTCCACGTCCAGGTCCACGTCCACGTCCAAGTCCTCCACGTCTACGTCCAAGTCCTCCACGTCCATGTCCACGTCCACGTCCACGTCCACGTCCACGTCCACGTCCATGTCCACGTCCACGTCCACGTCCACGTCCACGTCCATGTCCACGTCCACGTCCACGTCCACGTCCATGTCCACGTCCACGTCCACGTCCATGTCCACGTCCAAGTCCTCCACGTCCACGTCCACGTCCACGTTCACGTCCATGTCCACGTCCAAGTTCTCCACGTCCACGTCCACGTCCACGTCCACGTCCTCCACGTCCACGTCCACGTCCACGTCCACGTCCACGTCCACGTCCACTCCACGTCCACGTCACGTCCACGTCCACGTCCATGTCCACGTCCACGTCCACGTCCATGTCCACGTCCATGTCCACGTCCACGTCCACGTCCATGTCCACGTCCAGGTCCACGTCCACGTCCACGTCCACCTCCATGTCCACGTCCACGTCCACGTCCACGTCCATGTCCACGTCCACGTCCACGTCCACGTCCACGTCACGTCCACGTCCATGTCCACGTCCACGTCCACGTCAACGTCCACGTCCACGTCCACGTCCACTCCACGTCCACGTCCATGTCCACGTCCAAGTCCTCCACGTCCACGTCCACGTCCACGTTCACGTCCATGTCCACGTCCAAGTTCTCCACGTCCACGTCCACGTCCACGTCCACGTCCTCCACGTCCACGTCCACGTCCACGTCCACGTCCATGTCCACGTCCACGTCCACGTCTACGTCTACGTCCATGTCCACGTCCACGTCCACGTCCACGTCCATGTCCACGTCCAGGTCCACGTCCACGTCCACGTCCACGTCCACGTCCACGTCCACGTCCACGTCCATGTCCACGTCCATGTCCACGTCCATGTTCACGTCCACGTCTTGTTCACGTCCACGTCCATGTCCACGTCCACGTCCACGTCCACGTCCACGACCATGTCCACGTCCACGTCCATGTCCACGTCCACGTCCACGTCCACGTCCATGTCCACGTCCATGTCCATGTCCACGTCCACGTCCACGTCCACGTCCACGTCCACGTCCATGTCCACGTCCACGTCCACGTCCATGTCCACGTCCAAGTCCTCCACGTCCACGTCCACGTCCACGTTCACGTCCATGTCCACATCCAAGTTCTCCACGTCCACGTCCACGTCCACGTCCACGTCCTCCACGTCTACGTCCACGTCCACGTCCACGTCCACGTCTACGTCCACGTCCACGTCCATGTCCACGTCCACGTCCACTCCACGTCCACTCCACGTCCACGACCACGTCCACGTCCATGTCCACATCCATGTCCACGTCCACGTCCACGTCCATGTCCACGTCCATGTCCACGTCCACGTCCACGTCCACCTCCATGTCCACGTCCACGTCCACCTCCACCTCCATGTCCACGTCCACGTCCACGTCCACGTCCACGTCACGTCCACGTCCACGTCCATGTCCACGTCCACGTCCACGTCAACGTCTACGTCCACGTCCACTCCACGTCCACGTCCATGTGCACGTCTAAGTCCTCCACGTCCACGTCCACGTCCACGTTCACGTCCATGTCCACGTCCAAGTTCTCCACGTCCACGTCCACGTCCACGTCCACGTCCATGTCCTCCACGTCCACGTCCACGTCCACGTCCATGTCCACGTCCACGTCCACGTCCACGTCCATGTCCACGTCCACGTCCACGTCCACGTCCACGTCCACGTCCACGTCCACGTCCATGTCCACGTCCACGTCCACGTCCACGTCCACGTCCACTCCACGTCCACCTCCACGTCCACGTCCACCTCCACGTCCACGTCCACGTCCACGTCCACGTCCACGTCCACGTCCATGTCCACGTCCACGTCCACGTTCACGTCCATGTCCACGTCCAAGTTCTCCACGTCCACTTCCACGTCCACGTCCACGTCCATGTCCACGTCCATGTTCACGTCCACGTCTTGTTCACGTCCACGTCCATGTCCACGTCCACGTCCACGTCCACGTCCACGTCCACGACCATGTCCACGTCCACGTCCACGTCCACGTCCACGTCGACGTCCACGTCCACGTCCACGTCCAGGTCCACCTCCATGTCCACCTCCACGTCCACGTCCACGTCCACGTCCACGTCCACGTCCACGTCCACGTCTACGTCCACGTCCACGTCCATGTCCACGTCCACGTCCACTCCACGTCCACTCCACGTCCACGTCTACGTCCATGTCCACGTCCACGTCCACGTCCATGTCCACGTCCACGTCCACGTCCACGTCCACCTCCATGTCCACGTCCACGTCCACGTCCACCTCCATGTGCACGTCCACGTCCACGTCCACGTCCACGTCACGTCCACGTCCACGTCCATGTCCACGTCCACGTCCACGTCAACGTCCACGTCCACGTCCACGTCCACTCCACGTCCACGTCCATGTGCACGTCCAAGTCCTCCACGTCCACGTCCATGTCCACGTCTAAGTTCTCCACGTCCACGTCCACGTCCACGTCCATGTCCTCCACGTCCACGTCCACGTCCACGTCCATGTCCACGTCCACGTCCACGTCTACGTCTACGTCCACGTCCATGTCCACGTCCAAGTTCTCCACGTCCACGTCCACGTCCACGTCCACTCCACGTCCACCTCCACGTCCACGTCCACCTCCACGTCCACGTCCACGTCCACGTCCACGTCCACGTCCACGTCCACGTCCACGTCCACGACCATGTCCACGTCCACGTCCACGTCCACGTCCACGTCGACGTCCACGTCCACGTCCACGTCCACGTCCACGTCCATATCCACGTCCACGTCCACGTCCACGTCCACGTCCACGTCCTCCACGTCCACGTCCACGTCCACGTTCACGTCCACGTCCACGTCCAATTCTCCACGTCCACGTCCACGTCCTCCACGTCCACGTCCACATCCACGTCCACGTCCACGTCCACGTCCACGTCCATGTCCACGTCCACGTCCACTCCACGTCCACTCCACGTCCACGTCCACGTCCACGTCCATGTCCACGTCCATGTCCACGTCCACGTCCACGTCCATGTCCACCTCCATGTCCACGTCCACGTCCACGTCCACCTCCATGTCCACGTCCACGTCCACGTCCACCTCCATGTCGACGTCCACGTCCACGTCCACCTCCACGTCACGTCCACGTTCACGTCCATGTCCACGTCCACGTCCACGTCAACGTCTACGTCCACGTCCACGTCCACTCCACGTCCACGTCCATGTCCACGTCCAAGTCCACGTCCACGTCCACGTCCACGTTCACGTCCATGTCCACGTCCACGTCCACGTCCACGTCCACGTCCACGTCCACGTCCACGTCCACGTCCTCCACGTCCACGTCCACGTCCACGTCTACGTCCACGTCCACGTCCACGTCCACGTCCACGTCCACGTCCACGTCCAGGTCCACGTCCACGTCCACGTCCACGTCCACGTCCACGTCCACGTCCACGTCCACGTACACGTCCACGTCCACGTCCACGTCCACGTCCACGTCCACGTCCACTCCACGTCCACCTCCACGTCCACGTCCACCTCCACGTCCACGTCCACGTCCACGTCCACGTCCACGTCCACGTCCATGTCCACGTCCAGGTCAACGTTCACGTCCATGTCCACGTCCAAGTTCTCCACGTCCACGTCCACGTCCACGTCCACGTCCATGTCCACGTCCACGTCCATGTCCACGTCCATGTTCACGTCCACGTCTTGTTCACGTCCACGTCCATGTCCACATCCACGTCCACGTCCACGTCCACGTCCACGACCATGTCCACGTCCACGTCCATGTCCACGTCCACGTCCACGTCCACGTCCATGTCCTGGTCCATGTCCACGTCCACGTCCACGTCCACGTCCATGTCCACGTCCACGTCCACGTCCACGTCCATGTCCACGTCCACGTCCACGTCCATGTCCACGTCCAAGTCCTCCACGTCCACGTCCACGTCCACATTCACGTCCATGTCCACGTCCAAGTTCTCCACGTCCACGTCCACGTCCACGTCCACGTCCTCCACGTCCACGTCCACGTCCACGTCCACGTCCACGTCCATGTCCACGTCCACGTCCACTCCACGTTCACTCCACGTCTAGGTCCACGTCCACGTCCACGTCCATGTCCACGTCCATGTCCACGTCCACGTCCATGTCCACGTCCACGTCCACGTCCACCTCCATGTCCACGTCCACGTCCACGTCCACGTCCATGTCCACGTCCACGTCCACGTCCACGTCCACGTCACGTCCACGTCCACGTCCATGTCCACGTCCACGTCCACGTCAACGTCCACGTCCACGTCCACGTCCACGTCCACTCCACGTCCACGTCCATGTCCACGTCCAAGTCCTCCACGTCCATGTCCACGTCCACGTTCACGTCCATGTCCACGTCCAAGTTCTCCACGTCCACGTCCACGTCCACGTCCACGTCCTCCACGTCCACGTCCACGTCCACGTCCATGTCCACGTCCACGTCCACGTCCACGTCTATGTCCACGTCCATGTCCACGTCCACGTCCACGTCCACGTCCAGGTCCACGTCCATGTCCACGTCCACGTCCACGTCCACGTCCACGTCCATGTCTACGTCCACGTCCACGTCCACGTCCACGTCCACTCCACGTCCACCTCCACGTCCACGTCCACCTCCACGTCCACGTCCACGTCCACGTCCACGTCCACGTCCATGTCCACGTCCAGGTCCACGTTCACGTCCATGTCCACGTCCAAGTTCTCCACGTCCATGTCCATGTCCACGTCCACGTCCACGTCCACGTCCATGTCCACGTCCACGTCCATGTCCACGTCCATGTTCACGTCCACGTCTTGTTCACGTCCACGTCCATGTCCACGTCCACGTCCACGTCCACGTCCACGTCCACGTCCACGACCATGTCCACGTCCACGTCCATGTCCACGTCCACGTCCACGTCCACGTCCATGTCCAGGTCCATGTCCACGTCCACGTCCACGTCCACGTCCACGTCCATGTCCACGTCCACGTCCACGTCCACGTCCACGTCCATGTCCACGTCCACGTCCACGTCCATGTCCACGTCCACGTCCACGTCCACGTCCACGTCCACTTCCACGTCCACGTCCACGTCCACGTCCATGTCCACGTCCTTGCCACGTCCATGTCCACGTCCAAGTCCTCCACGTCCACGTCCACGTCCACGTTCACGTCCATGTCCACGTCCAAGTTCTCCACGTCCACGTCCACGTCCACGTCCACGTCCTCCACGTCCACGTCCACGTCCACGTCCACGTCTACGTCCACGTCCATGTCCACGTCCACGTCCACTCCACGTCCACTCCACGTCCACGTCTACGTCCACGTCCACGTCCATGTCCACGTCCATGTCCACGTCTACGTCCACGTCCATGTCCACGTCCATGTCCACGTCCACGTCCACGTCCACCTCCACGTCCACGTCCACGTCCACGTCCACCTCCATGTCCACGTCCACGTCCACGTCCACCTCCACGTCCACGTCACGTCCACGTCCACGTCCATGTCCACGTCCACGTCAACGTCCACGTCCACGTCCACGTCCACTCCACGTCCACGTCCATGTGCACGTCCAAGTCCTCCACGTCCACGTCCACGTCCACGTTCACGTCCATGTCCACGTCTAAGTTCTCCACGTCCACGTCCACGTCCACGTCCACGTCCATGTCCTCCACGTCCACGTCCACGTCCACGTCCACGTCTACGTCTACGTCCACGTCCATGTCTACGTCCACGTCCACGTCCACGTCCATGTCTACGTCCACCTCCACGTCCACGTCCACGTCCACGTCCACGTCCACGTCCACGTCCACGTCCACGTCCACGTCCACTCCACGTCCACTCCACGTCCACCTCCACGTCCACGTCCACCTCCACGTCCACGTCCACGTCCACGTCCACGTCCACGTCCACGTCCACGTCCACGTCCATGTCCACGCCCAGGTCCACGTTCTCGTCCATGTCCACGTCCAAGTTTTCCACGTCCACGTCCACGTCCACGTCCACGTCTACGTCCACGTCCATGTTCACGTCCACGTCTTGTTCACGTCCACGTCTTGTTCACGTCCACGTCCATGTCCACGTCCACGTCCACGTCCACGACCATGTCCACGTCCACGTCCATGTCCACGTCCACGTCCACGTCCATGTCCAGGTCCACATCCACGTCCACGTCCACGTCCACGTCTATGTCCACGTCCACGTCCACGTCCACGTCCACGTCCACGTCCATGTCCACGTCCACGTCCACGTCCATGTCCACGTCCAAGTCCTCCACGTCCACGTCCACGTCCACGTTCACGTCCATGTCCACGTCCAAGTTCTCCACGTCCACGTCCACGTCCACGTCCTCCACGTCCACGTCCACGTCCACGTCCACGTCCACGTCCACGTCCACGTCCACGTCCACGTCCACGTCCACGTCCATGTCCACGTCCACGTCCACTCCACGTCCACGTCCACGTCCACGTCCATGTCCACGTCCATGTCCACGTCCACGTCCACGTCCACGTCCATGTCCACCTCCATGTCCACGTCCACGTCCACCTCCACCTCCACGTCCACGTCCACGTCCATGTCCACCTCCATGTCCACGTCCACGTCCACGTCCACGTCACGTCCACGTCCACGTCCATGTCCACGTCCACGTCCACGTCAACGTCTACGTCCACGTCCACGTCCACTCCACGTCCACGTCCATGTCCACGTCCAAGTCCACGTCCACGTCCACGTCCACGTTCACGTCTATGTCCACGTCCAAGTTCTCCACGTCCACGTCCACGTCCACGTCCACGTCCACGTCCTCCACGTCCACGTCCACGTCCACGTCCATGTCCACGTCCACGTCAACGTCTACGTCTACGTCCACGTCCATGTCCACGTCCACGTCCACGTCCACGTCCATGTCCACGTCCACGTCCACGTCCACGTCTACGTCCACGTCCACGTCCACTCCACGTCCACCTCCACTCCACGTCCACGTCCACGTCCACGTCCACGTCCACGTCCACGTCCACGTCCACGTCCATGTCCACGTCCAGGTCCACGTCCACGTCCAGGTCCACGTCCAAGTTCTCCACGTCCACGTCCACGTCCACGTCCACGTCCACGTCCATGTCCACGTCCATGTTCCACGTCCATGTCCACGTCCATGTCCACGTCCACGTCCACGTCCACGTCCATGTCCACGTCCACGTCCACGTCCACGTCCACGTCCACGTCCACGTCCACGTCCACTCCACGTCCACCTCCACGTCCACGTCCACCTCCACGTCCACGTCCACGTCCACGTCCACGTCCACGTCCACGTCCACGTCCATGTCCACGTCCAGGTCCACGTTCACGTCCATGTCCACGTCCAAGTTCTCCACGTCCACGTCCACGTCCACGTCCACTCCACGTCCACCTCTACGTCCACGTCCACCTCCACGTCCACGTCCAAGTCCACGTCCACGTCCACGTCCACGTTCACGTCCATGTCCACGTCCAAGTTCTCCACGTCCACGTCCACGTCCACGTCCACTCCACGTCCACCTCCACGTCCACGTCCACCTCCACGTCCACGTCCACGTCCACGTCCACGTCCACGTCCACGTCTACGTCCACGTCCACGTCCATGTCCACGTCCACGTCCACTCCACGTCCACTCCACGTCCACGTCTACGTCCATGTCCACGTCCACGTCCACGTCCATGTCCACGTCCACGTCCACGTCCACGTCCACCTCCATGTCCACGTCCACGTCCACGTCCACCTCCATGTCCACGTCCACGTCCACGTCCACGTCCACGTCACGTCCACGTCCACGTCCATGTCCACGTCCACGTCCACGTCAACGTCCACGTCCACGTCCACGTCCACTCCACGTCCACGTCCATGTGCACGTCCAAGTCCTCCACGTCCACGTCCATGTCCACGTCTAAGTTCTCCACGTCCACGTCCACGTCCACGTCCACGTCCATGTCCTCCACGTCCACGTCCACGTCCACGTCCATGTCCACGTCCACGTCCACGTCTACGTCTACGTCCACGTCCATGTCCACGTCCAAGTTCTCCACGTCCACGTCCACGTCCACGTCCACTCCACGTCCACCTCCACGTCCACGTCCACGTCCACGTCCACGTCCACGTCCACGTCCACGTCCACGTCCACGTCCACGTCCACGTCGACGTCCACGTCCACGTCCACGTCCACGTCCACGTCCACGTCCATGTCCACGTCCACGTCCACTCCACGTCCACTCCACGTCCACGTCCACGTCCACGTCCATGTCCACGTCCATGTCCACGTCCACGTCCACGTCCACGTCCATGTCCACCTCCATGTCCACGTCCACGTCCACCTCCACCTCCACGTCCACGTCCACGTCCATGTCCACCTCCATGTCCACGTCCACGTCCACGTCCACGTCACGTCCACGTCCACGTCCATGTCCACGTCCACGTCCACGTCAACGTCTACGTCCACGTCCACGTCCACTCCACGTCCACGTCCATGTCCACGTCCAAGTCCACGTCCACGTCCACGTCCACGTTCACGTCTATGTCCACGTCCAAGTTCTCCACGTCCACGTCCACGTCCACGTCCACGTCCACGTCCACGTCCTCCACGTCCACGTCCACGTCCACGTCCATGTCCACGTCCACGTCAACGTCTACGTCTACGTCCACGTCCATGTCCACGTCCACGTCCACGTCCACGTCCATGTCCACGTCCACGTCCACGTCCACGTCCACGTCCACGTCCACGTCCACGTCCACTCCACGTCCACCTCCACTCCACGTCCACGTCCACGTCCACGTCCACGTCCACGTCCACGTCCACGTCCACGTCCACGTCCATGTCCACGTCCAGGTCCACGTCCACGTCCAGGTCCACGTCCAAGTTCTCCACGTCCACGTCCACGTCCACGTCCACGTCCACGTCCATGTCCACGTCCATGTTCCACGTCCACGTCCACGTCCATGTCCACGTCCACGTCCACGTCCACGTCCATGTCCACGTCCACGTCCACGTCCACGTCCACGTCCACGTCCACGTCCACGTCCACGTCCACTCCACGTCCACCTCCACGTCCACGTCCACCTTCACGTCCACGTCCACGTCCACGTCCACGTCCACGTCCACGTCCACGTCCACGTCCACGTCCATGTCCACGTCCAGGTCCACGTTCACGTCCATGTCCATGTCCAAGTTCTCCACGTCCACGTCCACGTCCACTCCACGTCCACCTCCACGTCCACGTCCACCTCCACGTCCACGTCCAAGTCCACGTCCACGTCCACGTCCACGTTCACGTCCATGTCCACGTCCAAGTTCTCCACGTCCACGTCCACGTCCACGTCCACTCCACGTCCACCTCCACGTCCACGTCCACCTCCACGTCCACGTCCACGTCCACGTCAACGTCCACGTCCACGTCCACGTCTACGTCCACGTCCACGTCCATGTCCACGTCCACGTCCACTCCACGTCCACTCCACGTCCACGTCTACGTCCATGTCCACGTCCACGTCCACGTCCATGTCCACGTCCACGTCCACGTCCACGTCCACCTCCATGTCCACGTCCACGTCCACGTCCACCTCCATGTCCACGTCCACGTCCACGTCCACGTCCACGTCACGTCCACGTCCACGTCCATGTCCACGTCCACGTCCACGTCAACGTCCACGTCCACGTCCACGTCCACTCCACGTCCACGTCCATGTGCACGTCCAAGTCCTCCACGTCCACGTCCATGTCCACGTCTAAGTTCTCCACGTCCACGTCCACGTCCACGTCCACGTCCATGTCCTCCACGTCCACGTCCACGTCCACGTCCATGTCCACGTCCACGTCCACGTCTACGTCTACGTCCACGTCCATGTCCACGTCCAAGTTCTCCACGTCCACGTCCACGTCCACGTCCACTCCACGTCCACCTCCACGTCCACGTCCACCTCCACGTCCACGTCCACGTCCACGTCCACGTCCACGTCCACGTCTACGTCCACGTCCACGTCCATGTCCACGTCCACGTCCACTCCACGTCCACTCCACGTCCACGTCCATGTCCACGTCCAAGTCCTCCACGTCCACGTCCACGTCTACGTCCACGTCCATGTCCACGTCCACGTCCACTCCACGTCCACTCCACGTCCACGTCTACGTCCACGTCCACGTCCATGTCCACGTCCATGTCCACGTCTACGTCCACGTCCATGTCCACGTCCATGTCCACGTCCACGTCCACGTCCACCTCCATGTCCACGTCCACGTCCACGTCCACCTCCATGTCCACGTCCACGTCCACGTCCACCTCCACGTCCACGTCACGTCCACGTCCACGTCCATGTCCACGTCCACGTCAACGTCCACGTCCACGTCCACGTCCACTCCACGTCCACGTCCATGTGCACGTCCAAGTCCTCCACGTCCACGTCCACGTCCACGTTCACGTCCATGTCCACGTCTAAGTTCTCCACGTCCACGTCCACGTCCACGTCCACGTCCATGTCCTCCACGTCCACGTCCATGTCCACGTCCACGTCCACGTCTACGTCTACGTCCACGTCCATGTCTACGTCCACGTCCACGTCCACGTCCATGTCTACGTCCACGTCCATGTCTACGTCCACGTCCACGTCCACGTCCACGTCCACGTCCACGTCCACGTCCACGTCCACGTCCACGTCCACTCCACGTCCACCTCCACGTCCACGTCCACCTCCACGTCCACGTCCACGTCCACGTCCACGTCCACGTCCACGTCCATGTCCACGCCCAGGTCCACGTTCTCGTCCATGTCCACGTCCAAGTTCTCCACGTCCACGTCCACGTCCACGTCCACGTCTACGTCCACGTCCATGTTCACGTCCACGTCTTGTTCACGTCCACGTCTTGTTCACGTCCACGTCCATGTCCACGTCCACGTCCACGTCCACGTCCACGACCATGTCCACGTCCACGTCCATGTCCACGTCCACGTCCACGTCCATGTCCAGGTCCACGTCCACGTCCACGTCCACGTCCACGTCCATGTCCACGTCCACGTCCACGTCCACGTCCACGTCCATGTCCACGTCCACGTCCACGTCCATGTCCACGTCCAAGTCCTCCACGTCCACGTCCACGTCCACGTTCACGTCCATGTCCACGTCCAAGTTCTCCACGTCCACGTCCACATCCACGTCCTCCACGTCCACGTCCACGTCCACGTCCACGTCCACGTCCACGTCGACGTCCACGTCCACGTCCACGTCCACGTCAACGTCCACGTCCATGTCCACGTCCACGTCCACTCCACGTCCACTCCACGTCCACGTCCACGTCCACGTCCACGTCCATGTCCATGTCCATGTCCACGTCCACGTCCACGTCCACGTCCATGTCCACCTCCATGTCCACGTCCACGTCCACGTCCACCTCCACGTCCAGGTCCACGTCCATGTCCACCTCCATGTCCACGTCCACGTCCACGTCACGTCCACGTCCACGTCCATGTCCACGTCCACGTCCACGTCAACGTCTACGTCCACGTCCACGTCCACTCCACGTCCACGTCCATGTCCACGTCCAAGTCCACGTCCACGTCCACGTCCACGTTCACGTCTATGTCCACGTCCAAGTTCTCCACGTCCACGTCCACGTCCACGTCCACGTCCACGTCCACGTCCACGTCCTCCACGTCCACGTCCACGTCCACGTCCATGTCCACGTCCACGTCAACGTCTACGTCTACGTCCACGTCCATGTCCACGTCCACGTCCACGTCCACGTCCATGTCCACGTCCATGTCCACGTCCACGTCCACGTCCACGTCCACGTCCACGTCCACGTCCACTCCACGTCCACGTCCACGTCCACGTCCACGTCCACGTCCACGTCCATGTCCACGTCCAGGTGCACGTCCACGTCCAGGTCCACGTCCAAGTTCTCCACGTCCACGTCCACGTCCACGTCCATGTCCACGTCCATGTTCCACGTCCACGTCCACGTCCATGTCCACGTCCACGTCCACGTCCACGTCCATGTCCACGTCCACGTCCACGTCCACGTCCACGTCCACGTCCACGTCCACGTCCACTCCACGTCCACCTCCACGTCCACGTCCACCTCCACGTCCACGTCCACGTCCACGTCCACGTCCACGTCCACGTCCACGTCCATGTCCACATCCAGGTCCACGTTCACGTCCATGTCCACGTCCAAGTTCTCCACGTCCACGTCCACGTCCACGTCCACTCCACGTCCACCTCCACGTCCACGTCCACCTCCACGTCCACGTCCAAGTCCACGTCCACGTCCACGTCCACGTTCACGTCCATGTCCACGTCCAAGTTCTCCACGTCCACGTCCACGTCCACGTCCACTCCACGTCCACCTCCACGTCCACGTCCACCTCCACGTCCACGTCCACGTCCACGTCCACGTCCACGTCCACGTCCACGTCTACGTCCACGTCCACGTCCATGTCCACGTCCACGTCCACTCCACGTCCACTCCACGTCCACGTCTACGTCCATGTCCACGTCCACGTCCACGTCCATGTCCACGTCCACGTCCACGTCCACGTCCACCTCCATGTCCACGTCCACGTCCACGTCCACCTCCATGTCCACGTCCACGTCCACGTCCACGTCCACGTCACGTCCACGTCCACGTCCATGTCCACGTCCACGTCCACGTCAACGTCCACGTCCACTCCACGTCCACGTCCATGTGCACGTCCAAGTCCTCCACGTCCACGTCCATGTCCACGTCTAAGTTGTCCACGTCCACGTCCACGTCCACGTCCACGTCCATGTCCTCCACGTCCACGTCCACGTCCACGTCCATGTCCACGTCCACGTCCACGTCTACGTCTACGTCCACGTCCATGTCCACGTCCAAGTTCTCCACGTCCACGTCCACGTCCACGTCCACTCCACGTCCACCTCCACGTCCACGTCCACCTCCACGTCCACGTCCACGTCCACGTCCACGTCCACGTCTACGTCCACGTCCACGTCCATGTCCACGTCCACGTCCACTCCACGTCCACTCCACGACCACGTCTACGTCCATGTCCACGTCCACGTCCACGTCCATGTCCACGTCCACGTCCACGTCCACGTCCACCTCCATGTCCACGTCCACGTCCACGTCCACCTCCATGTCCACGTCCACGTCCACGTCCACGTCACGTCCACGTCCACGTCCATGTCCACGTCCACGTCCACGTCAACGTCCACGTCCACGTCCACGTCCACTCCACGTCCACGTCCATGTGCACGTCCAAGTCCTCCACGTCCACGTCCATGTCCACGTCTAAGTTCTCCACGTCCACGTCCACGTCCACGTCCACGTCCATGTCCTCCACGTCCACGTCCACGTCCACGTCCATGTCCACGTCCACGTCCACGTCTACGTCTACGTCCACGTCCATGTCTACGTCCACGTCCACGTCCACGTCCACGTCCACGTCCACGTCCACGTCCACGTCCATGTCCACGTCCACGTCCACGTCCACGTCTACTCCAGGTCCACCTCCACGTCCACGTCCACCTCCACGTACACGTCCACGTCCACGTCCACGTCCACGTCCACGTCCATGTCCACGTCCAGGTCCACGTTCACGTCCATGTCCACGTCCAAGTTCTCCACGTCCACGTCCACGTCCACGTCCACGTCCACGTCTACGTCCACGTCCATGTCCATGTCCATGTTTACGTCCACGTCTTGTTCACGTCCACGTCCACGTCCACGTCCACATCCACGTCCACGTCCACGTCCACGTCCACGACCATGTCCACGTCCACGTCCACGTCCACGTCCACGTCCACTCCACGTCCACCTCCACGTCCACGTCCACCTCCACGTCCACGTCCACGTCCACGTCCACGTCCATGTCCACGTCCAAGTCCACGTTCACGTCCATGTCCACGTCCAAGTTCTCCACGTCCACGTCCATGTCCACGTCCACGTCCATGTCCACGTCCACGTCCATGTCCACGTCCATGTTCACGTCCACGTCTTGTTCACGTCCACGTCCATGTCCACATCTACGTCCACGTCCACGTCCACGTCCACGACCATGTCCACGTCCACGTCCATGTCCACGTCCACGTCCACGTCCACGTCCACGTCCAGGTCCATGTCCACGTCCACGTCCACGTCCACGTCCATGTCCACGTCCACGTCCACGTCCATGTCCACGTCCAAGTCCTCCACGTCCACGTCCACGTCCACGTTCATGTCCATGTCCACGTCCAAGTTCTCCACGTCCACGTCCACGTCCACGTCCACGTCCTCCACGTCCACGTCCACGTCCACATCCACGTCCACGTCCACGTCCACGTCCACGTCCACGTCCACTCCACGTCCACTCCACGTCCAGGTCCACGTCCACGTCCACGTCCATGTCCACGTCCATGTCCACGTCCACGTCCATGTCCACGTCCATGTCCACGTCCACGTCCACGTCCACCTCCATGTCCACGTCCACGTCCACGTCCATGTCCACGTCCACGTCCACGTCCACGTCCACGTCACGTCCACGTCCACGTCCATGTCCACGTCCACGTCCACGTCAACGTCCACGTCCACGTCCACGTCCACTCCACGTCCACGTCCATGTCCACGTCCAAGTCCTCCACGTCCACGTCCACGTCCACGTTCACGTCCATGTCCACGTCCAAGTTCTCCACGTCCACGTCCACGTCCACGTCCACGTCCTCCACGTCCACGTCCACGTCCACGTCCATGTCCACATCCACGTCCACGTCTACGTCCACGTCCACGTCTACGTCCACGTCCACCTCCACGTCCACGTCCACGTCCATGTCCACGTCCATGTCCACGTCCACGTCCACGTCCACGTCCACGTCCACGTCCACGTCCACGTCCACGTCCATGTCCATGTCCACGTCCACGTCCACGTCCACGTCCACTCCACGTCCACCTCCACGTCCACGTCCACCTCCACGTCCACGTCCACGTCCACGTCCACGTCCACGTCCACGTCCATGTCCACGTCCAGGTCCACGTTCACGTCCATGTCCACGTCCAAGTTCTCCACGTCCACGTCCATGTCCACGTCCACGTCCACGTCCACGTCCATGTCCACGTCCACGTCCATGTCCACGTCCATGTTCACGTCCACGTCTTGTTCACGTCCACGTCCACGTCCACGTCCACGACCATGTCCACGTCCACGTCCATGTCCACGTCCACGTCCACGTCCACGTCCATGTCCAGGTCCATGTCCACGTCCACGTCCACGACCACGTCCACGTCCATGTCCACGTCCACGTCCACGTCCACGTCCACGTCCATGTCCACGTCCACGTCCATGTCCACGTCCAAGTCCTCCACGTCCGCGTCCACGTTCACGTCCATGTCCACGTCCAAGTTCTCCACGTCCACGTCCACGTCCACGTCCACGTCCTCCACGTCCACGTCCACGTCCACGTCCACGTCCACATCCACGTCCATGTCCACGTCCACGTCCACTCCACGTCCACGTCCACGTCCACGTCCACGTCCACGTCCACGTCCATGTCCACGTCCATGTCCACGTCCACGTCCACGTCCATGTCCACGTCCATATCCACGTCCACGTCCACGTCCACCTCCAGTCCACGTCCACGTCCACGTCCACGTCCATGTCCACGTCCACGTCCACGTCCACGTCACGTCCACGTCCATGTCCACGTCAACGTCCACGTCCACGTCCACGTCCACTCCACGTCCACGTCCATGTCCACGTTCACGTCCATGTCCACGTCCACGTCCACGTCCACGTCCATGTCCATGTCCACGTCCACGTCCACGTCCACTCCACGTCCACGTCCACGTCCACGTCCACGTCCACGTCCATGTCCACGTTCACGTCCATGTCCACGTCCACGTCCACGTCCACGTCCACGTCCACTCCACGTCCACGTCCATGTCCACGTCCAAGTCCTCCACGTCCACGTCCATGTCCACGTTCACGTCTATGTCCACGTCCAAGTTCTCCACGTCCACGTCCACGTCCACGTCCACGTCCACGTCCACGTCCTCCACGTCCACGTCCACGTCCACGTCCATGTCCACGTCCACGTCAACGTCTACGTCTACGTCCACGTCCATGTCCACGTCCACGTCCACGTCCATGTCCACGTCCATGTCCACGTCCACGTCCACGTCCACGTCCACGTCCACGTCCACGTCCACTCCACGTCCACCTCCACTCCACGTCCACGTCCACGTCCACGTCCACGTCCACGTCCACGTCCACGTCCACGTCCATGTCCACGTCCAGGTCCACGTCCACGTCCAGGTCCACGTCCAAGTTCTCCACGTCCACGTCCACGTCCACGTCCACGTCCATGTCCACGTCCATGTTCCACGTCCACGTCCACGTCCATGTCCACGTCCACGTCCACGTCCATGTCCACGTCCACGTCCACGTCCACGTCCACGTCCACGTCCACGTCCACGTCCACGTCCACGTCCACTCCACGTCCACGTCCACGTCCACGTCCACCTCCACGTCCACGTCTACGTCCACGTCCACGTCCACGTCCACGTCCACGTCCATGTCCACGTCCAGGTCCACGTTCACGTCCATGTCCACGTCCAAGTTCTCCACGTCCACGTCCACGTCCACGTCCACTCCACGTCCACCTCCACGTCCACGTCCACCTCCACGTCCACGTCCAAGTCCACGTCCACGTCCACGTCCACGTTCACGTCCATGTCCACGTCCAAGTTCTCCACGTCCACGTCCACGTCCACGTCCACTCCACGTCCACCTCCACGTCCACGTCCACCTCCACGTCCACGTCCACGTCCACGTCCACGTCCACGTCCACGTCCACGTCTACGTCCACGTCCACGTCCATGTCCACGTCCACGTCCACTCCACGTCCACTCCACATCCACGTCTACGTCCATGTCCACGTCCACGTCCACGTCCATGTCCACGTCCACGTCCACGTCCACGTCCACCTCCATGTCCACGTCCACGTCCACGTCCACCTCCATGTCCACGTCCACGTCCACGTCCACGTCCACGTCACGTCCACGTCCACGTCCATGTCCACGTCCACGTCCACGTCAACGTCCACGTCCACGTCCACGTCCACTCCACGTCCACGTCCATGTGCACGTCCAAGTCCTCCACGTCCACGTCCATGTCCACGTCTAAGTTCTCCACGTCCACGTCCACGTCCACGTCCACGTCCATGTCCTCCACGTCCACGTCCACGTCCACGTCCATGTCCACGTCCACGTCCACGTCTACGTCTACGTCTACGTCCACGTCCATGTCCACGTCCAAGTTCTCCACGTCCACGTCCACGTCCACGTCCACTCCACGTCCACCTCCACGTCCACGTCCACCTCCACGTCCACGTCCACGTCCACGTCCACGTCCACGTCCACGTCCACGTCTACGTCCACGTCCACGTCCATGTCCACGTCCACGTCCACTCCACGTCCACTCCACGTCCACGTCCATGTCCACGTCCAAGTCCTCCACGTCCACGTCCACGTCTATGTCCACGTCCATGTCCACGTCCACGTCCACTCCACGTCCACTCCACGTCCACGTCTACGTCCACGTCCACGTCCATGTCCACGTCCATGTCCACGTCTACGTCCACGTCCATGTCCACGTCCATGTCCACGTCCACGTCCACGTCCACCTCCATGTCCACGTCCACGTCCACGTCCACCTCCATGTCCACGTCCACGTCCACGTCCACCTCCACGTCCACGTCACGTCCACGTCCACGTCCATGTCCACGTCCACGTCAACGTCCACGTCCACGTCCACGTCCACGTCCACTCCACGTCCACGTCCATGTGCACGTCCAAGTCCTCCACGTCCACGTCCACGTCCACGTTCACGTCCATGTCCACGTCTAAGTTCTCCACGTCCACGTCCACGTCCACGTCCACGTCCATGTCCTCCACGTCCACGTCCATGTCCACGTCCACGTCCACGTCTACGTCTACGTCCACGTCCATGTCTACGTCCACGTCCACGTCCACGTCCATGTCTACGTCCACGTCCATGTCTACGTCCACGTCCACGTCCACGTCCACGTCCACGTCCACGTCCACGTCCACGTCCACGTCCACGTCCACGTCCACGTCCACTCCACGTCCACCTCCACGACCACGTCCACCTCCACGTCCACGTCCACGTCCACGTCCACGTCCACGTCCACGTCCACGTCCACGTCCATGTCCACGCCCAGGTCCACGTTCTCGTCCATGTCCACGTCCAAGTTCTCCACGTCCACGTCCACGTCCACGTCCACGTCTACGTCCACGTCCATGTTCACGTCCACGTCTTGTTCACGTCCACGTCTTGTTCACGTCCACGTCCATGTCCACGTCCACGTCCACGTCCACGTCCACGACCATGTCCACGTCCACGTCCATGTCCACGTCCACGTCCACGTCCACGTCCATGTCCAGGTCCACGTCCGCGTCCACGTCCACGTCCACGTCCATGTCCACGTCCACGTCCACGTCCACGTCCACGTCCACGTCCATGTCCACGTCCAAGTCCTCCACGTCCACGTCCACGTCCACGTTCACGTCCATGTCCACGTCCAAGTTCTCCACGTCCACGTCCACATCCACGTCCTCCACGTCCACGTCCACGTCCACGTCCACGTCCACGTCCACGTCGACGTCCACGTCCACGTCCACGTCCACGTCCACGTCCACGTCCACGTCTACGTCCACGTCCATGTTCACGTCCACGTCTTGTTCACGTCCACGTCTTGTTCACGTCCACGTCCATGTCCACGTCCACGTCCACGTCCACGTCCACGACCATGTCCACGTCCACGTCCATGTCCACGTCCACGTCCACGTCCACGTCCATGTCCAGGTCCACGTCCACGTCCACGTCCACGTCCACGTCCATGTCCACGTCCACGTCCATGTCCACGTCCACGTCCACGTCCATGTCCACGTCCAAGTCCTCCACGTCCACGTCCACGTCCACGTTCACGTCCATGTCCACGTCCAAGTTCTCCACGTCCACGTCCACATCCACGTCCTCCACGTCCACGTCCACGTCCACGTCCACGTCCACGTCCACGTCGACGTCCACGTCCACGTCCACGTCCACGTCCACGTCCACGTCCATGTCCACGTCCACGTCCACTCCACGTCCACTCCACGTCCACGTCCACGTCCACGTCCACGTCCATGTCCACGTCCATGTCCACGTCCACGTCCACGTCCACGTCCATGTCCACCTCCATGTCCACGTCCACGTCCACGTCCACCTCCACGTCCACGTCCACGTCCATGTCCACCTCCATGTCCACGTCCACGTCCACGTCCACGTCACGTCCACGTCCACGTCCATGTCCACGTCCACGTCCACGTCAACGTCTACGTCCACGTCCACGTCCACTCCACGTCCACGTCCATGTCCACGTCCAAGTCCACGTCCACGTCCACGTCCACGTTCACGTCTATGTCCACGTCCAAGTTCTCCACGTCTACGTCCACGTCCACGTCCACGTCCACGTCCACGTCCTCCACGTCCACGTCCACGTCCACGTCCATGTCCACGTCCACGTCAACGTCTACGTCTACGTCCACGTCCATGTCCACGTCCACGTCCACGTCCACGTCCATGTCCACGTCCATGTCCACGTCCACGTCCACGTCCACGTCCACGTCCACGTCCACGTCCACGTCCACTCCACGTCCACGTCCACGTCCACGTCCACGTCCACGTCCACGTCCACGTCCACGTCCATGTCCACGTCCAGGTCCACGTCCACGTCCAGGTCCACGTCCAAGTTCTCCATGTCCACGTCCACGTCCACGTCCACGTCCATGTCCACGTCCATGTTCCACGTCCACGTCCACGTCCATGTCCACGTCCACGTCCACGTCCATGTCCACGTCCACGTCCACGTCCACGTCCACGTCCACGTCCACGTCCACGTCCACGTCCACTCCACGTCCACCTCCACGTCCACGTCCACCTCCACGTCCACGTCCACGTCCACGTCCACGTCCACGTCGACGTCCATGTCCACGTCCAGGTCCACGTTCACGTCCATGTCCACGTCCAAGTTCTCCACGTCCACGTCCACGTCCACGTCCACTCCACGTCCACCTCCACGTCCACGTCCACCTCCACGTCCACGTCCAAGTCCACGTCCACGTCCACGTCCACGTTCACGTCCATGTCCATGTCCAAGTTCTCCACGTCCACGTCCACGTCCACGTCCACTCCACGTCCACCTCCACGTCCACGTCCACCTCCACGTCCACGTCCACGTCCACGTCCACGTCCACGTCCACGTCTACGTCCACGTCCACGTCCATGTCCACGTCCACGTCCACTCCACGTCCACTCCACGTCCACGTCTACGTCCATGTCCACGTCCACGTCCACGTCCATGTCCACGTCCATGTCCACGTCCACGTCCACGTCCACGTCCACCTCCATGTCCACGTCCACGTCCACGTCCACCTCCATGTCCACGTCCACGTCCACGTCCACGTCCACGTCACGTCCACGTCCACGTCCATGTCCACGTCCACGTCCACGTCAACGTCCACGTCCACGTCCACGTCCACTCCACGTCCACGTCCATGTGCACGTCCAAGTCCTCCACGTCCACGTCCATGTCCACGTCTAAGTTCTCCACGTCCACGTCCACGTCCACGTCCACGTCCATGTCCTCCACGTCCACGTCCACGTCCACGTCCATGTCCACGTCCACGTCCACGTCTACGTCTACGTCCACGTCCATGTCCACGTCCAAGTTCTCCACGTCCACGTCCACGTCCACTCCACGTCCACCTCCACGTCTACGTCCACCTCCACGTCCACGTCCACGTCCACGTCCACGTCCACGTCTACGTCCACGTCCACGTCCATGTCCACGTCCACGTCCACTCCACGTCCACTCCACGTCCACGTCTACGTCCATGTCCACGTCCACGTCCATGTCCACGTCCACGTCCACGTCCACGTCCACCTCCATGTCCACGTCCACGTCCACGTCCACCTCCATGTCCACGTCCACGTCCACGTCCACGTCCACGTCACGTCCACGTCCACGTCCATGTCCACGTCCACGTCAACGTCCACGTCCACGTCCACGTCCACTCCACGTCCACGTCCATGTGCACGTCCAAGTCCTCCACGTCCACGTCCATGTCCGCGTCTAAGTTCTCCACGTCCACGTCCACGTCCACGTCCACGTCCATGTCCTCCACGTCCACGTCCACGTCCACGTCCATGTCCACGTCCACGTCCACGTCTACGTCTACGTCCACGTCCATGTCTACGTCCACGTCCACGTCCACGTCCACGTCCACGTCCACGTCCACGTCCACGTCCACGTCCATGTCCACGTCCACGTCCACGTCCACGTCCACGTCTACTCCAGGTCCACCTCCACGTCCACGTCCACCTCCACGTACACGTCCACGTCCACGTCCACGTCCACGTCCACGTCCATGTCCTCGTCCAGGTCCACGTTCACGTCCATGTCCACGTCCAAGTTCTCCACGTCCACGTCCACGTCCACGTCCACATCCACGTCTACGTCCACGTCCATGTCCACGTCCATGTTTACGTCCACGTCTTGTTCACGTCCACGTCCACGTCCACGTCCACATCCACGTCCACGTCCACGTCCACGTCCACGACCATGTCCACGTCCACGTCCACGTCCACGTCCACTCCACGTCCACCTCCACGTCCACGTCCACCTCCACGTCCACGTCCACGTCCACGTCCACGTCCATGTCCACGTCCAAGTCCACGTTCACGTCCATGTCCACGTCCAAGTTCTCCACGTCCACGTCCATGTCCACGTCCACGTCCACGTCCATGTCCACGTCCACGTCCATGTCCACGTCCATGTTCACGTCCACGTCTTGTTCACGTCCACGTCCATGTCCACATCCACGTCCACGTCCACGTCCACGTCCACGACCATGTCCACGTCCACGTCCATGTCCACGTCCACGTCCACGTCCACGTCCACGTCCAGGTCCATGTCCACGTCCACGTCCACGTCCACGTCCATGTCCACGTCCACGTCCACGTCCACGTCCACGTCCACGTCCATGTCCACGTCCACGTCCACGTCCATGTCCACGTCCAAGTCCTCCACGTCCACGTCCACGTCCACGTTCATGTCCATGTCCACGTCCAAGTTCTCCACGTCCACGTCCACGTCCACGTCCACGTCCTCCACGTCCACGTCCACGTCCACGTCCACGTCCACGTCCACGTCCATGTCCACGTCCACTCCACGTCCACTCCACGTCCAGGTCCACGTCCACGTCCACGTCCATGTCCACGTCCATGTCCACGTCCACGTCCATGTCCACGTCCATGTCCACATCCACGTCCACGTCCACCTCCATGTCCACGTCCACGTCCACGTCCATGTCCACGTCCACGTCCACGTCCACGTCCACGTCACGTCCACGTCCACGTCCATGTCCACGTCCACGTCCACGTCAACGTCCACGTCCACGTCCACGTCCACTCCACGTCCACGTCCATGTCCACGTCCAAGTCCTCCACGTCCACGTCCACGTCCACGTTCACGTCCATGTCCACGTCCAAGTTCTCCACGTCCACGTCCACGTCCACGTCCACGTCCACGTCCTCCACGTCCACGTCCACGTCCACGTCCATGTCCACATCCACGTCCACGTCTACGTCCACGTCCACGTCTACGTCCACGTCCACGTCCACGTCCACGTCCACGTCCATGTCCACGTCCATGTCCACGTCCACGTCCACGTCCACGTCCACGTCCACGTCCACGTCCACGTCCACGTCCACGTCCACGTCCACGTCCACGTCCATGTCCATGTCCACGTCCACGTCCACGTCCACGTCCACGTCCACTCCACGTCCACCTCCACGTCCACGTCCACTCCACGTCCACGTCCACGTCCACGTCCACGTCCACGTCCACGTCCACGTCCAAGTCCACGTCCAGGTCCACGTTCACGTCTATGTCAACGTCCAAGTTCTCCACGTCCACGTCCATGTCCACGTCCACGTCCACGTCCATGTCCACGTCCACGTCCACGTCCACGTCCATGTCCACGTCCACGTCCATGTCCACGTCCATGTTCACGTCCACGTCTTGTTCACGTCCACGTCCATGTCCACGTCCACGTCCACGTCCACGTCCACGTCCACGACCATGTCCACGTCCACGTCCATGTCCACGTCCACGTCCACGTCCACGTCCATGTCCAGGTCCATGTCCACGTCCACGTCCACGACCACGTCCACGTCCATGTCCACGTCCACGTCCACGTCCACGTCCACGTCCACGTCCACGTCCATGTCCACGTCCACGTCCACGTCCATGTCCACGTCCAAGTCCTCCACGTCCACGTCCACGTTCACGTCCATGTCCACGTCCAAGTTCTCCACGTCCACGTCCACGTCCACGTCCACGTCCTCCACGTCCACGTCCACGTCCACGTCCACGTCCACATCCACGTCCATGTCCACGTCCACGTCCACTCCACGTCCACGTCCACGTCCACGTCCACGTCCACGTCCACGTCCACGTCCACGTCCATGTCCACGTCCATGTCCACGTCCACGTCCACGTCCATGTCCACGTCCATATCCACGTCCACGTCCACGTCCACCTCCAGTCCACGTCCACGTCCACGTCCACGTCCATGTCCACGTCCACGTCCACGTCCACGTCACGTCCACGTCCACGTCCATGTCCACGTCCACGTCAACGTCCACGTCCACGTCCACGTCCACTCCACGTCCACGTCCATGTCCACGTCCAAGTCCTCCACGTCCACGTCCATGTCCACGTTCACGTCCATGTCCACGTCCAAGTTCTCCACGTCCACGTCCACGTCCACGTCCACGTCCACGTCCTCCACGTCCACGTCCACGTCCACGTCCACGTCCATGTTGACGTCCACGTCCACGTCTACGTCTACGTCCACGTCCACGTCCACGTCCACGTCCACGTCCACGTCCACGTCCACGTCCACGTCCACGTCCACGTCCACCTCCATGTCCACGTCCACGTCCACGTCCACCTCCATGTCCACGTCCACGTCCACGTCCACGTCCACGTCACGTCCACGTCCACGTCCATATCCACGTCCACGTCCACGTCAACGTCCACGTCCACGTCCACGTCCACTCCACGTCCACGTCCATGTGCACGTCCAAGTCCTCCACGTCCACGTCCATGTCCACGTCTAAGTTCTCCACGTCCACGTCCACGTCCACGTCCACGTCCATGTCCTCCACGTCCACGTCCACGTCCACGTCCATGTCCACGTCCACGTCCACGTCTACGTCTACGTCCACGTCCATGTCCACGTCCAAGTTCTCCACGTCCACGTCCACGTCCACGTCCACTCCACGTCCACCTCCACGTCTACGTCCACCTCCACGTCCACGTCCACGTCCACGTCCACGTCCACGTCCACGTCTACGTCCACGTCCACGTCCATGTCCACGTCCACGTCCACTCCACGTCCACTCCACGTCCACGTCTACGTCCATGTCCACGTCCACGTCCACGTCCATGTCCACGTCCACGTCCACGTCCACGTCCACCTCCATGTCCACGTCCACGTCCACGTCCACCTCCATGTCCACGTCCACGTCCACGTCCACGTCCACGTCACGTCCACGTCCACGTCCATGTCCACGTCCACGTCCACGTCCACGTCCACGTCCACGTCCACGTCCACTCCACGTCCACGTCCATGTGCACGTCCAAGTCCTCCACGTCCACGTCCATGTCCACGTCTAAGTTCTCCACGTCCACGTCCACGTCCACGTCCACGTCCATGTCCTCCACGTCCACGTCCACGTCCACGTCCATGTCCACGTCCACGTCCACGTCTACGTCTACGTCCACGTCCATGTCTACGTCCACGTCCACGTCCACGTCCACGTCCACGTCCACGTCCACGTCCATGTCCACGTCCACGTCCACGTCCACGTCCACGTCTACTCCAGGTCCACCTCCACGTCCACGTCCACCTCCACGTACACGTCCACGTCCACGTCCACGTCCACGTCCATGTCCACGTCCAGGTCCACGTTCACGTCCATGTCCACGTCCAAGTTCTCCACGTCCACGTCCACGTCCACGTCCACGTCCACGTCTACGTCCACGTCCATGTCCACGTCCATGTTTACGTCCACGTCTTGTTCACGTCCACGTCCACGTCCACGTCCACATCCACGTCCACGTCCACGTCCACGTCCACGACCATGTCCACGTCCACGTCCACGTCCACGTCCACTCCACGTCCACCTCCACGTCCACGTCCACCTCCACGTCCACCTCCACGTCCACGTCCACGTCCACATCCACGTCCACGTCCATGTCCACGTCCAGGTCCACGTTCACGTCTATGTCCACGTCCAAGTTCTCCACGTCCACGTCCATGTCCACGTCCACGTCCACGTCCACGTCCATGTCCACGTCCACGTCCACGTCCACGTCCATGTCCACGTCCACGTCCATGTCCACGTCCATGTTCACGTCCACGTCTTGTTCACGTCCACGTCCATGTCCACGTCCACGTCCACGTCCACGTCCACGACCATGTCCACGTCCACGTCCATGTCCACGTCCACGTCCACGTCCACGTCCATGTCCAGGTCCATGTCCACGTCCACGTCCACGACCACGTCCACGTCCATGTCCACGTCCACGTCCACGTCCACGTCCACGTCCACGTCCATGTCCACGTCCACGTCCACGTCCATGTCCACGTCCAAGTCCTCCACGTCCACGTCCACGTTCACGTCCATGTCCACGTCCAAGTTCTCCACGTCCACGTCCACGTCCACGTCCACGTCCTCCACGTCCACGTCCACGTCCACGTCCACGTCCACATCCACGTCCATGTCCACGTCCACGTCCACTCCACGTCCACGTCCACGTCCACGTCCACGTCCACGTCCACGTCCATGTCCACGTCCATGTCCACGTCCACGTCCACGTCCATGTCCACGTCCATATCCACGTCCACGTCCACGTCCACCTCCAGTCCACGTCCACGTCCACGTCCACGTCCATGTCCACGTCCACGTCCACGTCCACGTCACGTCCACGTCCACGTCCATGTCCACGTCCACGTCAACGTCCACGTCCACGTCCACGTCCACTCCACGTCCACGTCCATGTCCACGTCCAAGTCCTCCACGTCCACGTCCATGTCCACGTTCACGTCCATGTCCACGTCCAAGTTCTCCACGTCCACGTCCACGTCCACGTCCACGTCCACGTCCTCCACGTCCACGTCCACGTCCACGTCCACGTCCATGTCCACGTCCACGTCCACGTCTACGTCTACGTCCACGTCCATGTCCACGTCCACGTCCACGTCCACGTCCAGGTCCACGTCCACGTCCACGTCCACGTCCACGTCCACGTCCACGTCTACGTCCACGTCCACGTCCACGTCCACGTCCACGTCCACGTCCACGTCCACGTCCACGTCCATGTCCACGTCCATGTCCACGTCCACGTCCACGTCCACGTCCACGTCCAGGTCAACTCCACGTCCACGTCCACGTCCACGTCCACCTCCACGTCCACGTCCACGTCCACGTCCACGTCCACGTCCACGTCCATGTCCACGTCCATGTCCACGTCCACGTCCACGTCCACGTCCACGTCCACGTCCATGTCCAAGTTCTCCACGTCCACGTCCACTCCACGTCCATGTCCACGTCCAGGTCCACGTCCACGTCCACGTCCACGTCCATGTCCACGTCCATGTCCACGTCCACGTCCACGTCCATGTCCACGTCCAAGTCCTCCACGTCCACGTCCACGTCCACGTTCACGTCCATGTCCACGTCCAAGTTCTCCACGTCCACGTCCACGTCCTCCACGTCCACGTCCTCCACGTCCACGTCCACGTCCACGTCCACGTCCACGTCCAAGTCCACGTCCACGTCCACTCCACGTCCACTCCACGTCCACGTCCACGTCCACGTCCACGTCCACGTCCATGTCCACGTCTATGTCCACGTCCACGTCCACGTCCATGTCCACGTCCATATCCACGTCCACGTCCAAGTCCACCTCCATGTCCACGTCCACGTCCACGTCCATGTCCACGTCCACGTCCACGTCCACGTCACGTCCACGTCCACGTCCATGTCCACGTCCACATCCACGTCAACGTCCACGTCCACGTCCACGTCCACTCCACGTCCACGTCCATGTCCACGTCCAAGTTCTCCACGTCCACGTCCACGTCCACATTCACGTCCATGTCCACGTCCAAGTTCTCCACGTCCACGTCCACGTCCACGTCCACGTCCTCCACGTCCACGTCCACGTCCACGTCCACGTCCATGTCCACGTCCACGTCCACGTCTACGTCCACGTCCACGTCCACGTCCACCTCCATGTCCACGTCCACGTCCACGTCCACGTCCACTCCACGTCCACGTCCACGTCCACGTCCACGTCAACGTCCACGTCCACTCCACGTCCACCTCCACGTCCACGTCCACCTCCATGTCCACGTCCACGTCCACGTCCACGTCCACGTCCACGTCCACGTCTACGTCCACGTCCACGTCCACGTCCATGTCCACGTCCAGGTCCACGTTCACGTCCATGTCCACGTCCAAGTTCTCCACGTCCACGTCCACGTCCACGTCCACGTCCACGTCCACGTCCATGTCCACGTCCAGGTCGACGTTCACGTCCATGTCCACGTCCAAGTTCTCCACGTCCACGTCCACGTCCACGTCCACGTCCACGTCCATGTCCACGTCCACGTCCATGTCCACGTCCATGTTAACGTCCACGTCTTGTTCACGTCCACGTCCATGTCCACGTCCACGTCCACGTCCACGTCCACGACCACGTCCACGTCCACGTCCATGTCCATGTCCACGTCCACGTCCACGTCCATGTCCAGGTCCACGTCCACGTCCATGTCCACGTCCACGTCCACGTCCACGTCCACGTCCACGTCCACGTCAACGTCCACGTCCACGTCCACGTCCACGTCCACGTCCACGTCCACGTCCATGTCCACGTCCACGTCAACGTCCACGTCCACGTCCACGTCCACGTCCATGTCCACGTCCAAGTCCTCCACGTCCACGTCCACGTCCACGTTCACGTCCATGTCCACGTCCAAGTTCTCCACGTCCACGTCCAAGTTCTCCACGTCCTCCACGTCCACGTCCACGTCCTCGTCCACGTCCACGTCCAAGTCCACGTCCACGTCCACGTCCACGTCCAAGTCCACGTCCACGTCCACGTCGACGTCCACGTCCATGTCCACGTCCACGTCCACTCCACGTCCACTCCACGTCCACGTCCACGTCCACGTCCACGTCCACGTCCACGTCCACGTCCACGTCCACGTCCATGTCCACGTCCACGTCCACGTCCATGTCCACGTCCATGTCCACGTCCACCTCCACGTCCACCTCCATGTCCACGTCCACGTCCACGTCCACCTCCATATCCACGTCCACGTCCACGTCCACGTCCACGTCACGTCCACGTCCACGTCCACGTCCACGTCCACGTCCACGTCAACGTCCACGTCCACGTCCACGTCCACTCCACGTCCACGTCCATGTCCACGTCCAAGTCCTCCACGTCCACGTCCACGTCCACGTTCACGTCTATGTCCACGTCCAAGTTCTCCACGTCCACGTCCACGTCCACGTCCACGTCCTCCACGTCCACGTCCACGTCCACGTCCATGTCCACGTCCACGTCCATGTCTACGTCTACGTCCACGTCCACGTCCACGTCCACGTCCAATCCACGTCCACGTCCACGTCCACGTCCACGTCCACGTCCACGTCCACGTCCACGTCCATGTCCACGTCCATGTCCACGTCCACGTCCACGTCCAAGTCCACTCCACGTCCACCTCCACGTCCACGTCCACCTCCACGTCCACCTCCACGTCCACGTCCACGTCCACGTCCACGTCCACGTCCACGTCCATGTCCACGTCCATGTCCACGTCCACGTCCACGTTCACGTCCATGTCCACGTCCAAGTTCTCCACGTCCACGTCCACGTCCACGTCCACGTCCACATCCACGTCCACGTTCTCCACGTCCACGTCCACGTCCACGTCCACGTCCACGTCCACGTCCCAGTCCACGTCCACGTCTACGTCCACGTCCATGTCCACGTCCCAGTCCACGTCCCAGTCCACGTCCAGTCCACGTCCACGTCCACGTCCACGTCCACGTCCACGTCCATGTCCAGTCCACGTCCACGTCCACGTCCACGTCCACGTCCACGTCCACATCCACGTCCACGTCCACGTCCACGTCCACGTCCACGTCCAAGTCTTCCACGTCCACGTCCTCCACGTCCACGCCCACGTCCACGTCCACGTCCACGTCCACGTCCACGTCCACGACCATGTCTACGTCCACGTCCACGTCCACGTCCACGTCCACGACCGCGTCCACGACCGCGTCCACGTCCACGACCGCGTCCACGTCCACGTCCACGTCCACGTCCGCGTCCACGTCCACGTCTACGTCCATGTCCACGTCCATGTCCGCGTCCACGTCCCCGTCCATGTCCGCGTCCACGTCCGCGTCCACGTCCGCGTCCACGTCCGCGTCCACGTCCGCGTCCACGTCCACGTCCACGTCCCCGTCCATGTCCATGTCCACGTCCACGTCCACGTCCACGACCACGTCCACGTCCACGTCCACGTCCACGTCCACGTCCACGTCCATGTCCACGTCTACGTCCATGTCCACGTCCATGTCCACGTCCACGTCCATGTCCACGTCCACGTCCATGTCCACGTCCATGTCCATGTCCATGTCCACGTCCACGTCCACGTCCACGACCACGTCCATGTCATTTGCACTCGAAGTTCCCATACTGACCGACCTGGCCAATGCACCATTTTCCATATACATATGCATTAGATTCCTTTCAAACCTTTTTAGCTCACTAGATTTATATATTTCCCACCTTCTGATCGAGTGAGACCGCTAGATTCCCTCTACTTTTTGAGAAATAAGCGTTTCCGTTCTCCTTGGCCCTAGTTGCACTATCAGTGCGAAATGCCGGCCAGACTGGCCGACGCACAATTTTCTCTACACATGTGAGTTAGTTACCTTTCAAACCCTTACGTTCACTAGATGAATATATTTCCTACTTTCTTTTTGGGTGAGACCACTTGATTCCGTGTACTATGCGAGATCTGAGCTCTTCCGTTCTCCCTGGCATTTGTATTTTAAGTTCCGATACTGACCGACCTGGCCAATGCACCATTTTCTCTATACATGTGCGTTGAATACATTTCAAACCTTTTTAGCTGACTAGATTTATATATTTCCCACCTTCTGATTGAGTGAGACGGTTAGATTCCCTCTACTTTTTGAGAAACGAGCGTTTCTGTTCTCCATGGCCCCACCTGCACTATGAGTGCGAAATGCCGGCCAGACTGGCCGATGCACCATTTTCTCTACACATGTGCGTTAGTTACCTTTCAAACCCTTACGTTCACTAGATGAATATATTTCCTACCTTCTATTTGAGTGAGACCACTAGATTCCGTGTATTATGCGAGATCTGAGCAGTTCCGTTCTCTCAGGCATTTGCACTCTAAGTTCCCTGCTGACCGACCTGGCCAATGCACCACTTTCTATATACATATGCATTAGATTCCTTCCGAACCTTATTAGCTCACTAGATTTATATATTTCCCACCTTCTGATCGAGTGAGACCGCTAGATTCCCTTCACTTTTTGAGAAATGAGCGTTTCCGTTCTCCTTGGCCCTACTTGCACTATAAGTGCGAAATGCCGGCCAGACTGGCCGATGCACCATTTTCTCTACACATGTGCGTTAGTTACCTTTCAAACCCTTACGTTCACTAGATGAATTTATTTCCTACCTTCAATTTGAGTGAGACCACTAGATTTCGTGTACTATGCGAGATCTGAGCGCTTCCGTTCTCCATGGCATTTGCACTCTAAGTTCCCATACTGACCGACCTGGCCAATGCATCATTTTCCATATACATATGCATTAGATTCCTTTCGAACCTTATTAGCTCACTAGTTTTATATATTTCCCACCTTCTGATCGAGTGAGACTGCTAGATTCCCTCTACTTTTTTAGTAATGAGCGTTTCCGTTCTCCTTGGCCCTAGTTGCACTATAAGTGCGAAATGCCGGCTAGACTGGCCGATGCACAATTTTCTCTACACATGTGCGTTAGTTACCTTTGAAACCCTTACATTCACTAGATGAATTTATTTCCTACCTTATATTTGAGTGAGACCACTAGATTCCGTGTATTATGCGAGATCTGAGCGGTTCTGTTCTCCCAGGCATTTGCCTTGAAGTTCCCATACTGACCGACCTCGCCAATGCACCACTTTCCATATACATATGCATTAGATTCCTTTCAAACCTTATTAGCTCACTAGATTTATATATTTCCCACCTTTTGATCAAGTGAGACCGCTAGATTCCCTTTACTTTTTGAGAAATGAGCGTTTCCGTTCTCCTTGGCCCTAGTTGCACTATAAGTGCGAAATGCCGGCCAGACTGGCCGATGCACCATTTTCTCTACACATGTGCGTTAGTTACCTTTCAAACCCTTACGTTCACTAGATGAATTTATTTCCTACCTTCAATTTGAGTGAGACCACTAGATTTCGTGTACTATGCGAGATCTGAGCGCTTCCGTTCTCCATGGCATTTGCACTCTAAGTTCCCATACTGACCGACCTGGCCAATGCACCATTTTCCATATACATATGCATTAGATTCCTTTCGAACCTTATTAGCTCACTAGTTTTATATATTTCCCACCTTCTGATCGAGTGAGACTGCTAGATTCCCTCTACTTTTTTAGTAATGAGCGTTTCCGTTCTCCTTGGCCCTAGTTGCACTATAAGTGCGAAATGCCGGCCAGACTGGCCGATGCACAATTTTCTCTACACATGTGCGTTAGTTACCTTTGAAACCCTTACATTCACTAGATGAATTTATTTCCTACCTTATATTTGAGTGAGACCACTAGATTCCGTGTATTATGCGAGATCTGAGCGGTTCTGTTCTCCCAGGCATTTGCCTTGAAGTTCCCATACTGACCGACCTGGCCAATGCACCACTTTCCATATACATATGCATTAGATTCCTTTCAAACCTTATTAGCTCACTAGATTTATATATTTCCCACCTTTTGATCAAGTGAGACCGCTAGATTCCCTTTACTTTTTGAGAAATGAGCGTTTCCGTTCTCCTTGGCCCTACTTGCACTATAAGTGCGAAATGCCGGCCAAACTGGCCGATGCACCATTTTCTCTACACATGTGCGTTAGTTACCTTTGAAACCCTTACATTCACTAGATGAATTTATTTCCTACCTTCTATTTGAGTGAGACCACTAGATTCTGTGTACTATGCGAGATCTGAGCGCTTCCATTCTCCCTGGCATTTGCACTCTAAGTTCCCATACTGACCGACCTGGCCAATGCACCACTTTCCATATACATATACATTAGATTCCTTCCGAACCTTATTAGCTCACTATATTTATATATTTCCCACCTTTTGATCGAGTGATCCGGCTAGATTCCCTTTACTTTCTGAGAAATGAGCGTTTCCGTTCTCCTTGGCCCTACTTGCACTATAAGTGCGAAATGCCGGCCAGACTGGCCGATGCACAATTTTCTCTACACATGTGCGTTAGTTACCTTTCAAACCCTTACGTTCACTAGATGAATATATTTCCTACCTTATATTTGAGTGAGACCACTAGATTCCGTGTATTATGCGAGATTTGAGCGGTTCTGTTCTCCAAGGCATTTGCACTCTAAGTTCCCATACTGACCGACCTGGCCAATGCACCATTTTCCATATACATATGCATTAGATTCCTTTCGAACCTTATAAACTCACTAGATTTATATATTTCCCACCTTCTAATCGAGTGAGACCGCTAGATTCCCTTTACTTTTTGAGAAATTAGCGTTTCCGTTCTCCTTGGCCCTACTTGCACTATAAGTGCGAAATGCCGGCCAGACTGGCCGATGCACCATTTTCTCTACACATGTGCATTAGTTACCTTTCGAACCCTTACGTTCACTATATGAATTTATTTCCTACCTTCTATTTGAGTGAGACCACTAGATTTCGTGTACTATGCGAGATCTGAGCGCTTCCGTTCTCCCTAGCATTTGCACTCTAAGTTCCCATACTGACCGACCTGGCCAATGCACCATTTTCCATATACATATGCGTTAGATTCCTTTCGAACCTTATTAGCTCACTATATTTATATATTTCCCACCTTCTGATCGAGTGAGACCACTAGATTCCCTCTACTTTTTGAGAAATGAGCGTTTTCGTTCTCCTTGGCCCTAGGTGCACGATAAGTGCGAAATGCCGGCCAGACTGGCCGATGCACAATTTTCTCTACACATGTGTGTTAGTTACCTTTCAAACCCTTATGTTCACTAGATGAATATATTTCCTACTTTCTATTTGAGTGAGACCACTTGATTCCGTGTACTATGCGAGATCTGAGCGCTTCCGTTCTCCCTGGCATTTGCATTTTAAGTTCCGATACTGACCGACCTGGCCAATGCACCATTTTCTCTATACATGTGCGTTGAATACATTTCAAACCTTTTTAGCTGACTAGATTTATATATTTCCCACCTTCTGATCGAGTGAGACCGTTAGATTCCCTCTACTTTTTGAGAAACGAGCGTTTCCGTTCTACCTGGCCCCACCTGCACTATGAGTGCGAAATGCCGGCCAGACTGGCCGATGCACCATTTTCTCTACACATGTGCATTAGTTACCTTTCAAACCCTTACATTCACTAGATGAATATATTTCCTACCTTATATTTGAGTGAGACCACTAGATTCCGTGTATTATGCGAGATCTGAGCGGTTCCGTTCTCCCAGGCATTTGCACTCTAAGTTCCCATACTGACCGACCTGGCCAATGCACCACTTTCCATATACATATGCATTAGATTCCTTTTGAACCTTATAAGCTCACTAGATTTATATATTTCCCACCTTCTCATCGAGTGAGACTGCTAGATTCCCTTTACTTTTTGAGAAATGAGCGTTTCCGTTCTCCTTGGCCCTACTTGCTCTATAAGTGCGAAATGCCGGCCAGACTGGCCGATGCACCATTTTCTCTACACATGTGCGTTAGTTACCTTTCAAACCCTTACGTTCACTAGATGAATTTATTTCCTACCTTATATTTGAGTGAGACCACTCGATTCCGTGTATTATGCGAGATCTGAGCGGTTCTGTCTCCCAAGCATTTGCACTCTAAGTTCCCATACTGACCGACCTGGCCAATGCACCACTTTCCATATACATATGCATTAGATTCCTTTCGAACCTTATTAGCTCACTAGATTTATATATTTCCCACCTTCTGATCGAGTGAGACCGCTACATTCCCTTTACTTTTTGAGAAATGAGCGTTTCCATTCTCCTTGGCCCTACTTGCACTATAAGTGCGAAATGCCGGCAAGACTGGCTGATGCACCATTTTCTCTACACATGTGCGTTAGTTACCTTTCAAACCCTTACGTTCACTAGATGAATTTATTTCCTACCTTCTATTTGAGTGAGACCACTAGATTCCGTTTACTATGCGAGATCTGAGCGCTTCCGTTCTCCCTGGCATTTGCATTTTAAGTTCCCATACTGACTGACCTGGCCAATGCACCATTTTCCATATACATATGCATTAGATTCCTTTCGAACCTTATTAGCTCACTAGATTTATATATTTCCCACCTTCTGATCGAGTGAGACCGCTAGATTCCCTTTACTTTTTGAGAAATGAGCGTTTCCGTTCTCCTTGGCCCTACTTGCACTATAAGT